ACACACACACACACACACACACAATGTGTCTAACAATTAAAGACACAATACTCGTGCGCAGGTAAAACATATTAAAGTGAACAGAAAAGTTCTTTATTATTTCGCAAAGTTCGCAATAGTTATTAAAGAATTAATTAAAGAATATTAGTGAATGAATATATGCGGAAAGCAGTAGGACAATATCTATAAGCACAAATCTGAATGTAGATGTCTCAAATTTGTTGACAATTTTCTAAAAGTAGTAGATAGAATATGATGCTGAATACATTGCATGCATATTTGCCGTTACCAGATCAGAAAAAAATTTTAAACATTCAGTTTCTTCAGTCTGTCCTGTAAAACTTGTCCCACAGCTTTAGGCACATTGATTTATCAATTTTCTTTAATTAACATCTCAATAATTATTGTGATTATTTGCGAAATAATACAGAACTTTTTCGTTTAATTTGATAATCTCTTCTTGCACACGAGCATTGCTATGTCTCGAATATACTGTATAAGGATCTCTGATAATTCGCACCTACTATTTACATAGAGTATTAGTATTTTCCTTATGGAAAAAAGAGTCAAAAAGTCATGAGCAATTTTTTCCTACTTAATAAATAATCATTAAGTAAAATCCAATCAATTAGCACCAACTTTTAAGCGGATGCACGTTCGTAAATCACGTTCTAGATTTTGTATTATATTTTTTATAGAATCATATCATAAAAGTTATTTAAGACACCTTACTCACCGCGGGTGTTGGATTCTGACATTAGAGACGAGAAATAAAACATTGAAAATTCTTGCATATTTTCAAATAGAAAGATATTTGAATAAAAAATTAAAAAAAAAAGACATTTCAGATTGTTTAAGCATATTTGTAAAATATGTCGAAAACTAACCTTCTCCCTTAACAGTTAATAAATAATCACAAACGTGACAAAATCATGAGGAAACGTATATTAAAAAGGAAAGGCGCATGTCACATTAATTTTATTGACCGCCATTTATTGACTGTCTAGAGCAGGGCTCGGCATATTTTGCCCATTTCGTCCATCTCGGGAGCTGCGCCTTTTATCTCCCTTTTGCCGCGCAGTGGGCCTCGCAAGTGACGGTCGTGCCTCTAAGCTTGGAACTGCGACTAGCCGCGACCGTCACTTGCGAGGCTCGCCGCGCGGCAAGGGAATCAAGGCGTAGCTCCCGAAAATCGGCCGAAATGGGCAAAATGTGCCGAGCCCTAGTCTAGAGGAAAGAATAGTTTTCAAAGTATTTTACAAGTATGCTCAAGTGATCTTAGTAGTGTCCTCTCATGCAAACATCATTGTATTTGAAAATAACATGTAAAGACTTGGACACAAGTTTTTTTACTTCTGATATCATGAATCAAGAATTTCGTGACATCTTAAAGAACAAATAATCTTTCTACACATGAGATATATATGAAAAATACTAACAAGTCTGTTATTTTTAAAATAATATTCAAAACTATCTAATAAAAGATATACGCGAAGAAATAAAATATCTGTAAATTACCTTAGCATGTCACCTAACTGTATAGGATTATTATGGATCCTTAAAGACAAATATAAGATTGCCCATAATTTCATAGGTGTAATTAATTCCGGCCCTATTTTATACTGACTAGTTATGTAACTTGTTTTAAATTTATTGCGTTTATTTCGTGGTACTTTCTTCGCTATGCTTTTTACTTTTTTTGCTTCCTTTCTAGCAGAAGAATTAAATTGTACCCTGTAAAAGAAGTGTTGAGAAGATGCCAAATAGCATGTAGTACAAAACCTTACTTTATACCTTACTGCTTGTATACTTTTTTATAGTTTATACCTTCCATAGTTTTCAGGCCGTCCTGTGCTAGACTGCACACTATATACACTTTGATTAAATCCACTAAGTGCATCTCCTTCTGAACTTGCTTGTGATTGCATAAACCTATCATAGTCAGCAGTACTCATAAGTTTCTGTAAATAGGAGATATTATGTTTATAATACAGAAATCTGTTTTTACAATGTGTCACAAATTTTGGGACAGCTAATTATCTAAAAAATTACTGCTATACTGGAAAAATTCAAACAAAAATGGTAAGATTTGGAAAAATCTTTAATGGCACATAAGGAGCTAGCACGGATGTTTTAGTGCTATTAAATACTAATATAACTTTAATATTAATATGATTGCGAGAGGATAAAAATGTCCAGTATGTCAAACGCACGTATCGAAATTTTCTCTTCGATTACCGTACGCGGAGAATCAACCTTCCATACTTAGACCGATCCTTGAGTCCCAATTTTAAATATATATTTAATTAAAATCCCAAACCCCCATTAAACCGAAGACTCAAATAGATTCCTTTTTTATATGTTGCGAAAAAACTGCCTCCGCCAGGACTCGAACCTGGAACCTCCCCACTTTGGGGTTTGGGATTTTAATTAAATATATATTTAAAATTGGGACTCAAGGATCGGTCTAAGTATGGAAGGTTGATTCTCCGCGTACGGTAATCGAAGAGAAAATTTCGATACGTGCGTTTGACATACTGGACATTTTTATTCTCCCACAATCATATTAATATTAAAGTTATATTAGTATTTAATAGCACTAAGACATCCGTGCTAGCTCCTTATGTGCCATTAATATTTCACTATTAGTTAACTCTATCAAGGAGCGTTCTATTATTTCGGAAAAATCTTTAAATTGGTGATATTTATTTGACCTTAAAATGACCTCAAAAAGTTCTGTAAAAGTCAATTTTAAAGGAGGAAGTGCAATTTAAGTCAATTTTTGTCTATTAAAAGTAACATTAATGGAATATAAATTTACATTATATGGGTTATTTAATATATAAAAATAATAATTAATATCACTAGTAGCTCGTGGGAACATTTTGAAAACTGCCTTGTTATATAGCCAAGTGACTTGCTGATATGAGTTCTCTAATGATATAACTAATCCTGTGTTTCTGGCTTACTTCCCATTCGGTATTACAAAAACTGTTACAAATACGATTCACTTCCTTTTAGAGGATTTTATATGAATTTAGAAGATAATATAAATGCTAATTGCATATAAATCAGGAAGGTAGAAATGAAGACTCCGCGTTGTCACCTCGTATATTTATGAACTGCGAATCCTCTATTCTCGATTAAGTCTGGGAATAAGAGTAAATTACAATTGAAAAAGTCTGTAAATATGTTTTAGAAACACTAATATATCAATAAAATATTATTATAATTGAAATCGTAATGATTAAAATATAGATAAGGACCTCACGTCACTCGTAGATTTAATGACTCAAAACACTTTCTACTTTTCATTATATCTGGTAGGAAAAATAACTAAACATTGAAGAAATCTGTAAATATCTCAGAAACCCTTTATTTAGTAATCGAAGTATGTTATAAATTATAAGTCTCTTTATTTTAGCTTTATAAATTTTAACTTTAATTATAACTTTATAAATTATAACATACTTCGATTATACCCAGATAGCCAAACCTGCGCGAGCAGATTTTGCGCAGAGTCTATTAACAGTATCTGTGACAGAAAGACAACAGATTGCACGCAGTATCTGTTTATCAGATTCTGACGACAGATTGGAGATAGTTTGCTCGCAGAATCTGCTAACAGATTCTAACGGCAGCAAGATCTGCGCGCATTCTGCTGCCAATCAAAGCCTGTTCAGCAAACTCTATCGACAATCTAACAGCAGATTGGGGACGCAGATGTCTATGGATTCTGCTCGAATCTGTCACCAGTCTGACGTCTGCGCACAAATTGCTTACTGGGTACTAAATAAAAGGTTTCTGAAATATTTGCAGATTTATTCAATATTTAGTTATTTTTCTTACTAGATATAATGGAGAGTAGAGAGGGTTTTGAGCCATTAAATCCACGAGTGACACCGTGAGGTCCTTATCTGTACTTTAATCATTACGATTTCAATTATAATATTATTTCATTGATATATTGGTTTTCCTAAAACATATTTACTGACTTTTTCAATTTCAATTTACTCCTATTCCTAGACTTAATCGAGAATAGAGAATTCGCAGTTCATAAATATACGAGGTGACAACGCGGAGTCTTCATTTCTACCTTCCTGACTTATATATGCAATTGTCATTCATGTTATCTTCTAAATTCATATAAAATCCTCTAAAAGGAAGAATAGTGAATCGTATTTGTAACAATTTTTGTAATACCGAATGGGAAGTAAACCAGAAACAGAATTAGTTATATCATTAGAGAACTCATATCAGCGAGTCACTTGGCTATATAACAAGACAGTTTTCAAAATGTTCCCACGAGCTACTAGTGATATAATTATTTTTATATATTAGATAACCCATATAATGTAAATTTATGTTCCATTAAAGTTTTATGTTCCATTAAAGTTTACTTTTAATGGACAGAAATCGACTCAAATTGCACTCCCTCCTTTTAAATGGAATCTTAACTTGTCTCACACAAACAAACGAGATTCTCCTACAGATTAGTTCATTTGGCAATCATATCAAACAGCAATGGTTAGATTGTTATTAATCATACTCTCTTCACTTTAGATGGAATTATATACACATATTTTTTCACATATGAATCAATTTGCTTTGTTATTCTGCATATAAAAGTACTGAAGTGAAGAGAAGTGAATGCTTTTCTCAAGATTTTTTATAGTTGATCCTAATATTTTTCAGTCTAAGATATGAATTGTCTTGTATTCACTTTTCGACAACTGCACTTAAATATCTTTGTATATAAAATGTTGAGAGAAATCGATTAATGATACTAATCTTTGCACCAGTGCATCAATAAAACTGTGAAATGCAACAAAATCTTTTTAATAGTTCCTTTATGATTTTTAATCTTTTGCAAATTTGCCAATATTTTAATCATCTCACATAAGGTTCAAAATATCTATTGTTTTACACTGAACATTTAGAGGTCGACTTTTTGTCAAGCAACAATTATAATAAGTATTATAAGATTTTTTTATATTTCACATATTTGCCATGTATCTAGATATGTTAATAAAGATATAAACTTGTAATAGTCACCTTTAAAAAAAAGTTTTATCCTATAGAGTTAACAACAATCGATTTCATATATTATTCTACATACAAAAGTATTTAGATGTTAAAAAGTGAATAGTTTATGAACTATTTTATATTTTGAACTGGAAACTATCAAAATTAAATATAAAATACCTGAAAAGTAATTATTTTCCAAAGATTTTACTCCAGTACTTTCATGTGCAGAATGACCAGAGAAATTAATTTATGATTGAAAAAAACCTATATAATCCTGTAAAAAATTAAAGTTAATCTCAATAGAGCATTTTCAGGTTATTCTAAGATCAAATATCACAAATTAATATTTTTAAATCCTATTATTTTTGTTTGAGACATTTTTCCAATATAGCAATAATTTTTTAGATAATTAACTATTTTAAAACTTTTAGCATACACTGTATATTAAATAATATTTAAATTATAGGCCATACTTTATTTCTATTTAATTCTCTTAAAGAACTTCCTTCACTTTGATAAGCAGAAGTTTTAGAACTTGTTACACTACCATCAATCTTCTTTCGTTTTCTAATTCTTTTCTGTACAAAAACTTTACCAGATATAATTTCAGCATCTCTGCAAAAATATATGATACAATCAATTGCTATTTTTATTATTGTATTAATAAGTATTTTTAATAGTAATTTTTATTATCGTATTATAAATATAAATGGTGCAATAAATAGGTGTATTTATATAATTTAGTAAAAACTTAATTTAGTTTAAACTTATCATGTTAAGAATAAATGATTTTTAAAGAATACAAATGATACAAACCTTTTTTTATATCTTCTAGCTAGTTTTGGCATAAGTTTCTGTTTTGTTGATGTAAAAGCTACTTCTAATTTCCCAAGATATCTTGCCCATAATTGTAATACTGTTACTTTTATATCCACAGGTGCACCAAGTTCAATAAGTTCATTTGTTAAACCAATCAAAATAAAATTATACAATTCCCACGACGTCCATCCGAGCTCTTTGTCTATACATAAGCAAATGTTAAACTTACATGTCATCAATAACAGAGATAATTGAAACTTGTTTGATTCTGTGAATATTATTTTTTTAAGTTACACAAGTTCTGTTTTAAAAAAAGAATAGCAAACCTATCCTGTTACGCCTCGCATTAGAAATTCTCATTTTCCGCAGTTTTGTAGTATCATCTACACGCACTTCTAATATCTGTTCTTTGATACCCTAAGAATATTTTATATTATAGCACATGTTACTTCGATACAATATAAACATTATTTATGAAACTTACCTCGTATGTACTTTGACATGTTGCACAAAAGAAATAACCGGACTTGTTATAAAAATCGCTACAACCACAGATACCGCACTTTTCCATCTTATTTTCCTGAAAATATTTAGTAATATTCAGTAACTGCACAAAATCAAAAATAATATAAATAATTTTACGTTTAAACTTTCAGGTTATGAGAGTCTGAGATCTGTACTTTTTAGCTACACTGGTGCAATAAGTTAAGCCAGCGGCACACAATAGGTTTGTTCGAGTTGCTTGTACTTTTCACACTTTTACACTTAATTCCCGTTGCACACTAGTGCATTCCAAACAACACAAATTTTCAAAAATACATTCTGAAGACGGAGTTTTCAAGACGGAGGGATGTCATCAGAATATTCTTAGGACGTCCTTTGAAAATGTCTGAAAATAGCTAATATCCAATAAGTTTATTCACATTAATTGAATTTTTTACACTTTCACACTTAGTGCACATTAATTCTTTATGGCTTCTGCACACAGGATGCGGTAATACTTGCCGCGCGGCGGAAGTCCGCGCGACAGCCAATCAATATGTTGTTTTTCCGTAAGAGCTAGAAGGTTATTACGGAAAGCAGTATATTGATTGGCTGTCGCGCGAACTTCCGCCGCGCGGCAAGCATTACCGCGTCCTGTGTGCAAGAGTCATTAGAGGTTATAAAAATGGCGTCATGTTTTCCGTTCGTGTTACGAATGTAAGTGCAATTCTGATACACTTTTCACTCTTGCTTGAGATCAAGTGTAAAAAGAATATCAAAATTGCAATTACACTCGTAACACGAACGGAACTCATGACGTCATTTTTAGTACCTCTAAAGAATTAATGTGCACTAAGTATGAAAGTGTAAAAAGTTCAATTAATGCAAATAAACTTATTGGATATTAACTATTTTCAAACCGCTCACATCTTCTAAGGACGTCCTAAAAATATTCTGATGACATCCCTCCGTCCTAAAAACGTCTTCAGAACGTATTTTGGAAAATTTGTATTGTATGAGGTGCATTAGTGTGCAACGGGCATTAGGTGTAAAAATATGAATAATACAAGCAACTTGAACAAACCTAAAGCCCATCTACAATTGCGTGAACGTGGATGTAAGTGGTTGTAAGTGATTACGACACCAATCAGAGTAAAGCAATCAGTGAATAAAACATTCGGATTGGTTGACTCTTACGTTCACGACTACGCTTACGCAATTGTAGAATGGGCTTAATGGGTGAGTTCTTTTATTCGCAACAGACACAACCCGATGCATCCGATGCATAATTTAATCGTTCTGTATATCCAATTGCGCACATCAAGTTGCAGATTGTATAAATTTTAACCGTTCTTTAATTTAAGTTGCAAGCAGAATTGTGCAACTGCTTGCAACTTTTATCATCCCAATTCAAGCGGCTGCCGAAAAATTGGAGCCTAATGGCTCCTGCACACAGGATGCGGTAATATTTGCCGCGCGGTGAAAGTTCGCGCGACAGCCAATCAATATGCTGCTTTCCATAATAATCTTCTAGCTCTTACGGAAAAACAACATATTGATTAGCTGTCGCGCGGCAAGCATTACCGCATACTGTGTGCAGGAGCCATGAGTTCCGAATGTGCAGGAACCTTAAGTACGAATTCGGTTCTTTGATGTGCAGAAAGTAGTTTCTTAGACAGCACACAATATTTAGGATAAATATTTATTTCGAATTATTTCTTAAAAATATTATATAAATATAATATAAATATTTTATATACATGAAGGAAAAAGTATCAAAATCTTTATTGAAAATATTATTAAAAATATTATTAAATATTATTAAAATACAGACTAAATATTTTATATACATGAAGGAAAAAGTATCAAAATCTTTATTGAAAATATTATTAAAAATATTATTAAATATTATTAAAATACAGACTAAATATTTTATATAATATTTATAGTAAACGAAAAATAAATATTCGTAGTAATATTTTGTAAATATATCTATTTATTATATATGAAAAAAATAAATGTAATTATTTAAAATTATTAAATTAATAAAAAAATAAGAAGTTTAAATCTCAGCTATGGTAAGCAAATTTTCAAAGTACAATTTAAATTCAATTAAGTAGCGTGTGAAACAATAAAATGGAAATTTTAAGAAAAATTCAGGAAAAGAGAAAAATGTATATAAATGTATATATTTTAATAAATATTTTTATAATATTTATGAGATAAATATTTTTCATCTATTGAATCTAAGGTCACAAAAAATATTTTGTAAATATATTTGTAAATATATTTATGAAACATTTTGGTAAATATTCATAAAATACCCTTATAGAAATATCATACTAAGAAATACTGAAAAATTATTAGTGATTAAATATTACCAGTAATTCAGTAATTTTTTGGCCAGTACTTAATTTCTGGTGAATACTGATAATAAAATCACTGTTAAATATTGATAGTAATCAAATACTGAGAATTATTATGCGAAGGTGAAAAATGAGAAAATCATAATGTTTACAAAAATATACTTATATTCCTAATTTTCTCATGTCTTATAAACTACTAGATATCGAAGGTTGTCAACATATTTCAAACTTTCATGAATCCTCCTGCGATAATTTCGATCCCAAGCGGTGTATACCGCTGATATACCCATCCTTGTCCTGACCGCATTAAACTGTTGCTTAACCTGACGAACGGCGCGCACGCGGTGACTCTGATGACTCCAACGATGTTCTTACAATTCATGCTTATATAATGTATCCTTATAGTGTTCACAGTATATTATAACATACCTAGCAAACACCAAATAATAGTTATATAATTTTTACTTGTTGTTTATTGGATAATTTGTTGATAGATATTGAAACAATGCAACATTCGATATGCGATGAATATTGATGTAATGTAGTAAACCAGTAATAATTATTTTTACATTTTTAACAAAATGTTATAATGATTAATCCAACAAAAAAAATTAAAAAATCCAAGAAAATCCAAATTAAACAAATCGAATTACTAAATTTTGAGAGAAACTTTTAAAAAATATTATTTAAAACAATAGTGTTGTTTCATCAAATGACATGGTTTCCTTGAACGAAATAAAAATTTTATTTTCATTATTTTAAAAAATGATATTTCGTTTAAGAATATAATATTTTAATGAAATAAAAAAAACCACAAAATTAAATAAGTACGAATATTAAATTTAAAGAAAGTATTTTCTCCGAAAAAACGGTATAAGAAGTATAAAAAATATGCAATAAGACAAATTAATAATTGCCACTAAAGAGTGCTATTCTAAGTACTATTCTGTAAGTATTATTGATGTAAAACATTACTGAATTTGAAATACAAGTAACAAAAATAACTAGTAAATAAATAAAATATATTATATACGTAATATTTTTTTTTAATATTGCTGCAATATTGCTAAAGTAATATTGTAAATTAATGTCACTGCAAAGTCTCTGCAACATTGCACTGCAATATGCAATCTTGCAACGTTGTAGCAATCCTTTATAGAAATATCATACTAAGAATCATTGATAATTACTTATTTTCAGTATTAAAAATACTGGATAATAAGTAATTATCATTGATTCTTAGTATGATATTTCTATAAGGGGCAGCAAAGTCTGCGCAGTTTCTGTTGCAAATCTGCTGTCAAATCGCTACAAGCTCTGCGTAGTTTATGCTGAAAATGTGCAGTAATTATCCGACAACAAGCTCTGTCGCATATCTGGCGGCAATTTGGCAGTAAGATTTGATATAACAGATCCTGCATCAAGTTTGTTATCTATTTACCATCAAAAATTGATAGCAAGCTCTGCTCGAAATCTGTTCGCGCAGGTTTGGCTATCTGGATGAATAAATTTATAAAGCGCCTTAAGGGTTTCAAAATTGTCAGAGAAAATAAGTTCGTCGATATATAAATCGGTATAGCCCAGACGCTGTAATTCCAGCATTAGTTCGATTGTGTGAACATCCCTAAGAATCTCTACTCGTGCCTAACGCCGTCATTGGAAACTGATTATGTCGAGCTGTACGTCACTTCACGCATGCGCAGAAGGGCTCCTGTCATTTAGAAAATATCGCGAACTCCCAGCACTGTACACAGACAGAGACGCTTTGTCTATTTGTGTGACGATCCTCGTCACATGGATTCTAACACTGAACTCTGTATGAACCCCAGAAAAAATAACGTAAGCAATCGAGAGCCATGTAAATGTGTGTCTAAAAGCTATCGCACACAAATTGACATAACTGCATATGCATAGCATAAGACCGTATGTACCAATGAGCATCGAGTATTAAGTCGCCATATTGGTGTTCGATGCTTAATATTCGATGCTCATTGGTCCATACGATCTTATGCTATGCATATGCAATTATGTCAATTTGTGTGCGATAGCCCTAACGCTTTAGTTCATTGACATAAGAATAAACCGAACATAAGACTCGAGATCTGAAAACGTAAAACAGAGTTCAGCACATGTGACATATTTCGGCCGATTTTCGATTGAGATTATAATAAAAAGCGGTAGCAACCCATACAGCACAGAAGCTTGCAGCAACATTGCTACAACGTTGCAAGATTACATATTGCAGTGTAATGTTGCAGAGACATTGCAGTGACATTAATTTGCAATATTACTTTAGCAATATTGCAGCACTCCCTTATAGAAATATCATATTAAGAATCATTGATAATTACTTATTTTCAGTATTAAAAATACTGGATAATAAGTAATTATCAATGATTCTTAGTATGATATTTCTATAAGGG